TGCACTCTTCCCTCTCAGATCTAGGACCGAGATCTGTCAGATAAGTCTACTTCCTGTAGAAAGAGGTCTCCCCTTGTCAAGCTGGCTAGTAAGCCCCCATTTATCCATTCTGCTCATGAGTCACTGCCTCCACTGTCCACTCTTACCTGACCTCCTCTTTTCCACCTGTCACTAAAACTCCAAACCCTAAACCCTCGTTCACTATCACCTTTCTTTTTAGTTCTAATATTCCAAGAACTGCTGTATTTTTTATCCTTAGATGGAACAAGTGACTTTCCTCTAACGGCTAAATCCTAAGCCCTTGTCTGTTTTCTGTCTAAGAGCAAGGGGGGGGAGATAATCCCAGGGGTATAGTCTTAATGTTGTTCTGTAAGAGGGGAGTTTATTAGATATGGGATAAACTAGTGGGTGTGGTGGTAATTCTACGGTGGAGTGGAAGGAGCTTGGGGGGGGGGGGAGCTGTAGGATGTACAGAGTAAGAGTTTTTGATACGTAGAGGTTGGCTTTGGGTTTGGGGGAGGCGACTGTAAGAGTAATATATTGGCTGTTTTTTGTGGAGTGGTAGGGAGGTTAGTGGGAGATGGTAAGTGTTCCCAGGTGATTTGCTGTTAGATTGGATCGTTTGCTCTATCTTGTAGGCTGGGGGGATTTGCTTATGGGATATTAGTCTGTGGGCTTATCATGTCTCTGATCGGGCTTTGTAGGTGTTGGGGTGACATGGTTAACCAGTCCTTCAATATTAGTTTGTTTCTTTCTATGGTGCCCAAGCTTCCTCCTCCGAGTTTAGAAGCAGTGAATATTTTGATGAGTTCTGTTGCTTTGTCTAGGTGATTTTCTATCTGTGTTAGGGTTCTCTTCCATCGAGCATGTATTTCGGTTTCTATAATATGTTTGATGCATATGAGAGGGTTTTCTGGGTTAGTAAGGCTGTCTTCAAAAGTCTTTTCACACCTTCTTTTCCAAATAGTCCACAGGGTTGCCTTTCTTATTTGTGAGAAGAAAAATAAATCAAAGCTCTTGAGAGGTGGGGTTTGTTCTAAATCTAGGAGTATAGTGCCTGGGTTTATTTGTACGTGTCTGCTAGAGTGTCTGCCCCTGGTTTTCTCTATGTCGAGCCAGAGGGTGTGGGATTTTTCGCATTCGAGGAAACAATGGTTTAGAGTTTCGATAGCTTGTAAGTTACAGACTTTGCACCATGAGGATTGTTCGGATCTGTCTTATTTTCTTCTTCTTTGCACAAGCCAGTCGTTTACTGGGGCTGCTCTGAAAGTAATGAGCCATAGTAGACTTGCCAGTTTGACTGGTTTTGTGCTGAAAATTGTGGCCCAAGAGAGTTTGATGGATAATGTTGCGAGAGAATTTGCACCATGAGGATTGTTCGGATTTGTCTTATTTTCTTCTTCTTTGCGCAA